GCAGCCTGAGCCCCGGGGCAGAGAGCCCGCAGGGCTGGGCTGTCCCGGGCTCATGCCCCAGTGGGGTCCCCGCTGCCCCCCGGCTAACGCACGCGGCTGGGCACAGGCCCTCTCCAGCGGCGGCGAGGGGCCTATTGAAGCCGCGGCCCCCTCAGCTCTGTTTCTCCTCATGGCTGGTGTCACCAGAGGGCCCCAGCGCCCCATTGTGCTAGGGGCTGTACCAACCCCACACAAGATGGCCCCTCCCCCCCCAGGGAATGGGCTGGGATTTGCAAGCTGAGTGCAGGCACCTAACTCCCTTGGGCTTTCCATGATCTCCGCCTTCAGGCCCCCACTGATTAGCAAGGAGCCTGGGGTCTCCTCGTGGATCTGGGAGCCTCGCCTTTGTATTGCGGGTCGGAAAATTCTCGTGTGAGGCCTCTGGAGAGAAACGTATAGAAATCAAGAAAAGGCTGAAGGGAGGGTACCAGACGCCACATGAGAGGGGCTTTGGGGGACTCATGATTCTGTCTCTCTGTGGGCTGTACCACTGGCCAGCCAACCACAGAAGGAGCCCACCAGGGATGTGCTAGCAAAGCTTTGATTTCTGGAGCTGGCGTGTGTGGGGAGTGAATGCCTGTGTGCTGGGAGCCTTTAGTGCTCTCAATGCCAGTTCCCAGTGCCAGCTGCTATGCGCGGTGGCCTTTCCAGACACCCCCAGGCCCTGCTCCTAGTGGGAGAGTTCCTTGAGACGCGTAGAACACTAGAACTGGAAGGGACCTTGAGAGGTCACATGCTCCATCCCCTGCCCTCATGGCAGGACCAAGCGCCATTTAGACCCGTGGTGTCCAACCAACCACTATAGTGGCTACTGCTATAGGGAACTAGCCACACTCAACCGGCCAAATAGCCACAAGTAGATCATGGACACCTCAGATCTAGATCATGCATGAATAAGGGCACGTGTGCAAGAATACATGTGTGCAAGTGAAGGAATGCATATTCCAAGGCCGGTGGGTGTGTAACAAAACCAGTACATGTGTGCAAGTGAGTGTGAGCGTTTGTGCTCAGTGCTGTGTGTGTGCCTGGGTTATCCACTGCGGGGCACTAGACAGTTACTTGTTGCCAAGAGGCTTTAGCGATTCACAGTTTCATGGAACTGAAGGCCAGAAGGGACCGTGAGATCCGCTGATCTCCTATCTGCCACAGGCTGTTCAGTTTCACTCAGCTATGCCGGTAACAAGCCCAGGACTTGAATCAGACTTAGGCATTTCAGCCCTCAGGAGAGTGTGCCGCAGGGAGCAGACGGGAGAGACGAACTTCTATAATGTAAGATAAACCTAAATGATCCCAACAGGTCAGCCACACCCCATGCTGCAGAGAAAGGTGAACCCCCCCACTATGGCAGGGGTTCAGGCTGCATTATTACTTAAGGAAGGTAATATGTCTGTGCATTTGCACAACAGCTGGGCATGCATCTCCCAGCCAGGGAGACAGGCCCGAGTTCTGCTTGTGCTACCATGCTGGAAATAGCAGTGAGGACACTGAGATGTGGGTGGCAGCATCAGACAACAGACCGGGAGGGGGGGGGTAGAGTAGGGGATCCAGTGGGCTTGTACTTGTGCCATTGTGCTACCACATCCACCCTATTTCAGTGTCCTTAGCTCTGGTCCAGCTGGCACATGTCAGTCCACCCAGGTTCCCCCAGCTGCAGTGTAGACGTACCTTGTGCTTCGGGCTCGAGAGAGGTGCCTTACCGGGCCCTGTGCTGGAACTTTGTGTCAGCTGTTAACTGGAGTAAGCTGTAGCCCTGGTTTGAAACTCATGATCTGTGGTCTGAGACTATGGTACTGACGTTTGTGTGTCGGTGTCTGTATGCACGTGCGTGCCCAGGCATGTCATGTGGAAGTGTGCCAGGGAGTATGGGGATGAATGTGCACCTGCTGTTTTGATTTCTAGAGCTGGGTCACTGTTAGAGCTCTCAATGCTGGCTTGCAGTCCCACTCGCTGTGTGCTACAGCCTTTCCAGGCACTTCTGGTCCCTGCTCACAATGTGAAAGTTTCCTTAGAATCCTAGAACTGGAAGGGACCTCGAGAGGTCATCAAGTCCCATCCCTTGCCCTTGCGTCAGGCCCAAGCAACATGTGTTTGTGCAGGTGAATGGGTGTGTGCAGCATGCGTATGTAGGAGTGTGCATGTGCTTGAGCTTGTGTGTATCAGTGTGTGTGTGTGTGCATGTGTCTGCGTACATATGTATGTGCGCGCCTACATGGACTTCCAGGCCAACTGGATAAACTAGATATCACAGCTGTCGGTTTTGTTGCTCAGGATTACTGCACAGCTGCACAGATTCAGCTGGGCAGGGCAGGTGTCAGCAGCAGGGCACCTGCATTGCTACTGGGTTAACATGGGAAAGGGTGACAGGCGTCTGTTCCTGCTGTAAGTGGAGCAAGGCCCCCGCAGCCAGGGCTGAAGCTGTGGACCCGCGTGGGTGGCTGTGGTCTCATCGATGCCGGTGTAAACTCAGAATGACCCCAATGAAGTCACTGGAGTGACACTGATTTAAAACTGGTGTAAGCGAGTGGCGAATCAGGTCTTGAAACTTCCCAAGTTATCCAGAGAGCAGGGGAATCTTGGCCCAGGAAACCCAGCATCTGAGCATTTTGCAACCCCCACTTTGCCTTTCTTGACTAAGGCGCCCCCCCATCCCGAGGTGGTGGAAAGCCTCCGATCCCAACACTGCAGCATTCAGCCCTTCTGCGGTTTCCTTGCAGAGCAGTTGAATGTCAGGCCCAGCTGGACATGAGCACATTTCGTTGTTCATTAGCGAGGAACCTTGTGGCGTTATTTGTCATAGACGCGGAGCGGGCCGTATGCGTGGCTGTGGAACCTGGCCACCAAAATAGCATCCTCCAATGACAAATGGGACTAAAGTGCTCTCCAATGCCTCACGCTAAGGGCCAGCAAAAACAACCTAGTGAGAAGTGGTCAGATTGGCAGCAGGATCAGACCCACGGCTCCAGCCAGGGGATAACACGGATATCCAGTGTTATCCTAATTCAAGCTCACAAAAATGCGGTGGGAGGGATATTAAACCTCTGGGCATAAGCAAATTGTCCGACAACTGCTGCTGCAGTGGGGTTTTTACCCCGTCATGAGAATCTGATGTCGGCTACAGTCAGAGACAGGAGATTCCTGTGTTCCTTGGGGGTTTTCCCAGCTCTGTTCCTGCTAACCGAACCATTCAAAACTCATGACTCAGCCTCTCCTCCTGCCCCCAAAATACTCACAAGTCTGACTCAGACCCAATAACTTTGGGGGGTCATTTCCTTAGAGCCGTTAGCAGACATGGTCTGCAATCCCGAGAGCTCGAACGTGACATTCAGATAAAAAGGCAGCGTTTCTCCTGATCCCGTTACAGGAGGAGCTGGGCGTGGAGGCAACCCGCCCCCCCCCCCCCCCGCGTTTGGGAG